ACAGAGGCAGCGAGGGAGGAGAGGCAGAAGCCGGTGCAGGGGGGGAGGCAGCTTAAAAGCTGGTTCCACCCAGCACCAACACTGAGGTACCACCTGCCCCCACCCTGCTGCCTCTATCGGGGGGGAGGGCGGGGGAATGGGAAGACTGCTGCCAAGTAGCCTCAGTCCATGGTGGCCTGGGCTCACCACAGAGAGACTTGTCCATGGGAGCAGCCCCTGTCCATCAGGTCCTAGCTCCCCACAGATAGGGGCTGCTCAGACCCTCTGCGGACAGAGACTGTTGCCACAAAGCAACCTCTATCCGTGGGGAGCTGGTTTTTAAAATGGCACCCTGGAAGACTGGTTCCCGCCTGTCACCTCGTGCTGCTGCCTCTGCCCTACAGGGTGACAAGGAACTCCCCAGGAGTGGGACCAGGGGCTCCGTGCTCAGGGATTATCAAATAGTTATGTAACCACTAAGATTTCATGCGGTTACATGACTATTCAATTACACAATATTTAACATCCCTCTAACAGAAGGTCAATTTTCACTGCTTAACGTATCAGGGTAGGAAAAACTGTGAATTGTATTCTATTAGTTCTACATGAATGACAGAGAAAGTGTCATCCCTCTGAGATTTTATTAATGAAATTATATTTTTAAATTGTATTTATTTATATTTATATAGGCAAACATTTCAAAACAAAACAATTGTAATGTTACTACCTTTTTATTACCTATAAATTAATCTGCCATGATGTCTCTTTCAGATTATCATATCACAAGTATGAGAAGCAAAGATAAAGATGTGAAGCTGGTAATTAAGCATTAGCCATAAAGAATCCAGTTTCAGATTCCAAATTGACTTCACAGTGCTGGCACCAAGAAAAACATCTTTACACATAGATATTAAGATAATGGGCCCAGTGGCATAAACAAACAGTACTTCATTAACTTCAAACAGGAGATGTCACTTTCACAAAGTGAACCTGAGTCAATGAAAAATAAAGTGTGGGACCCCATTTTGCCCTTTTTTATTTTTCAAAAAAATCTCACTTTAAAATATTTCTTTTATTATGTACAAATATTACTGAATTCAGAAATTGTGTGTTTCCTACTTTCTTTCAAAGTTTCCAGGTTGTGGTTTGAAGAATGACAGGCCATATGAAGTTTCCTTTGTTCCATAGGAAAACTGGAAGGTCACTTTCTCTGCACGTCCAAAGAGATTAGGAAATTTGAGCCCAAGCACCTAGGAAAAATGGGAAAATTTGAGTTTGATAGAATAATTAAAAAGATATTGGCAAACAATTATATGATATCGGAAAATATATTTATGATCCAGGGCTAGACATATAAGCATTTTAAAAAGCCAATTTACTTATCACTATTTATGCTTTTTTTTTTGGCGATTCTCACAGCACTGACAATGAAAATTAATTCCCTCAATTTTATTTTTGTTTATAGCCAGTATCACTTTTTGTTTCTCAGCATGGTATTATATGCTTTTGATTTTTGACTGTTTAAAAGCAATCATTATTAGAATTTTAAGCCATCACTATATTATTTGTTTTTACAACATGTAAACTACCCACTTGATTTGAGTTGATAATGCCCTTTTTTCCACTAAAAAAAGTCCATAAAGTGCATAGTCTTTACCAACTGACAATGTAGTAACATGAAAGATTTAAGATATCTTCCATAATGAAATCACTTTTTCTAATGCCCTGCTCTACCCCAAAGTCAGAATATTACAAGGTATTTCAAGTATTACAGTTAATTTCCCCAGCCTCCTTATATGCTACCTGCATCCTTTTCATGCTAGTGGCTCTCCTTTGGCTGGGAGAAGGAAGAGGGCCTCTCTCAGCCAGAGCTGTTATCACTACTGTTTCATTGTGGTGTGCTTAGGAAAGTCTTTAATTCCAAGCATGTGAAAGGCATGAGATCCACAGATCCAGGCATGAGATCCACCAAATCCAGCTTGCCTGGGTCTAACAGCTGTTGAGTGTAACAATGAGAGTTGCCAGAAGCCGGTTTACGACTGGAATGCCAAGTTGAAAGGGACCTTGGCAGCTGTGGTCAGCCCTTCTGACCAGGCTGCTAAAAGTCCAATTGGTGGTACAATGGGACAAAGGCAGGCTCTTTGCCTGCCCTGGTTCCACATGGCTCAGAGAAGCAGCTGGCATATCCGGCTCTTGAGCGCAGGAGTGGTCATGCAGGCTTCATGTGCTGTCCCCACCCCAAATGCTCACTTTGCAGTTGGCTAATGGGAGCTGTGAGGGTGGTTCCTGTGGACAGGTGCAGAGCACAGAGACCCTGGCTCTTCTATCTTCTGGGAGCCACCTGAGATAAGCACCACCTGGCTGGAGCCTTCACCCCAATCGCATGCTCTGGACTGGAATCCCCTCCCACGCCCCAATGCCCTCCCATGGCCTGCACCCCATCCTGGTGAAAGTGAATGAAGGTAGGGAAGAGTGAGCGACATGGGGGTGGGGTGAAGTAAGTGGGGGCAGGGAAGAGCCAGAGCGTTCAGTTTTGTGCAATTAGAAAATTGGCAACCCTACCAGGCTTCATTTATTCTTCATAATTAAGATTATTACCTAGCACATTTTCCAACTAACTATAAATTACTAATATAAAAGGATATTGATACAAATTTCTACTTCTATACATTCCAAATTTAAAAAGAAAGAATCAATGTGAAATCTAGTTACTTCTTAAGAAGACTAAAATATAATTATAGTCTTACAGCTAATTTGTGGTCTTACAAGTCACATTTTACAATCATTTAAAAAATTTTCCTCTCCTCGATTGCTGTGTGTGAAATACAAACAAACAGAAGGGGAACATGACTAAGAGAAAAAACTGAGATAAGAGGGCAACTAGAGTTTTGTCAAATGCACTAGAACTGAAACAGATCCCCCTCCCCCCCTCCAGGCTTAGGCTTATCAGTTAATCATTTCAACAACTATATGCTAACATCCCCATTTCAGAGAAAGTTATAAATTTAAGCGGATAAGAGGGAAGGTCCGCTCATGGATTGATAACAGGCTAAAAGACAAGAAACAAAAGGTAGGAATAAATGGTAAGTTTTCCAAGTGGGGAAGAGGTATCTAGTGGGGTCCCCCAAAGGTCTGTCCTGGGACCCATCCTATTCACTTTTTTATAAATGACCTGGAGAAAGGGGTAAACAGTGAGATGGCAAAATTTGTAGATGATACCAAACTGCTTAAAATAGTTAAGACCAAAGCAGACTGTGAAGCGCTTCAAAAACATCTCACCAAACTAAGTGATTGGGCAACAAAATGGCAAATGAAATTTAATGTTGATAAATGTGAAGTAATGCAGATTGGAAAAAAATAATCCCAACTATATATACACAATATGATGGAGACTAATTTGGCTACAACTACTCAAGAGAAAGCTCTTGGAGTCACTGTGGATAGTTCTCTGAAAACATCCACTCAGCGTGCAGAGGCAGTCAAAAAAAGCAAATAGAATATTAGGAGTCATTAAAAAAAGAGCTAGCGAATAAGACAGAAAATATCATATTGCCTCTATATAAAGCCATTGTATGCCCACATCTTGAATACTGGGTATAGACATGGTCATCTCATCTCAAAAAAGATATACTGGCATTGGCAAAAAGTTCAAAAAAAGGGCAACAAAATTATTAGGGGTTTGGAACGGGTCCCATATGAAGAAAGATTTAAAAAAAGCTTAGACTTTTCAGCTTAGAAAAGAGGAGACTCAGGGATATGAGAGAGGTCTATAAAATCATGACTGGTATGGAAAAAATGAATAAGGAAAAGTTATTTACTTATTCCCACAATAAAAGAACTAGGGGTCACCAAATTAAATTAATAGGCAGCAGGTTTAAAACGAACAAAAGGAAGTTTTTCCATCACTCAGCACACCACCTATGGAAGAAGGCTAGAACATTAACAGGGTTCAAAAAAGAGCTAGATAGATTCATGAAGGTTAAGTCCATCAATGGCTATTAGTCAGGATAGGTAGGAATGGTATCCCTAGCCTCTGTTTCTCTGGAGGTGGATGACAGGGGAGGGATCACGTGAAGATTACCTGTTGTGATCCCTTTCTCTGGGGCATCTAGTATTGGCCACTGTCAGCAGACAGGATACTGGGCTAGACGGACCGTTGGTCTGGCCCAGTATGGCCATTCTTATGTTCCTTCCCAAACTGAGGTCAAGTTGATATATGCTTTTAATCATACTTCGCTATAAAAAGGTGACTGTAATGCAAATACATTTTATAATATTTAGGTCCCCAAAAGTCCTATAGATTTCAGCCCAGAACAGTTGAATTGGTCTTTGAAACTAAGAACAAAATAAATGTAATTTGGTGGTCAAATCCCTCATACTCCTCCAAGAAAAGCCAAGTATAAACTAATATTCCAGAGAACAAATTACTGATAGGGTTTCCAACACTAGCACACAAAGTATCACAAATGAGAATCCATACATTTGTGACTTTTATATTTACATTATACATTTGTGACTAATTTGAACATTATAATACACAAATTATTGGGCTTGAGCACTGTGTATTAAGCCCAAATTCAAAACAAGTGTAAGCGTAATGCTGACAGCAGAACTGAACCTCGGACCTCTGGAGCTTAATGCATGAGCTTGAGCTAAAAGTCAAGCTGGCTCTCAGCTAAGGCTGAAGAAGAAGCTCATTCTTTCTAAGTGCCACTAGATGGGAAAGTGAACCATACCCAGTAGGTGTGGGGGTTACATAAGCATATGTTTAAGTGTTTTCCTGAATGAAGGCCTTAGCATCCTAGACAAATTTCTGAAAATCTAGCTACAGGCCTAAACTGCAAGTGAAACTAAGATATGATCTCAGCCTACTACCTATTTGGGCACAATAAAGATACACTAATTTGAGTCAAGTCTCTCAGAGGTGCCTAATACAATCCTAGAATCAGAACAATGAAGACATCTGTAGGTTAGGATGAAAGTCTTTTGGGAAAGCTATATTGTGGAAGTAAATGTGTGAGGATCAAGTCTTCACATGAAATTCACTCTTAAATTAGTAAATTGTGCCACAAGAAATGAAATTTGGAACATTGTAAAATCAGCCATACCATACTGCCTTCATTATTGCCAACCATAGTGTTATAACTTCCAGTTAGTCGTCTCAATTCTGTCACTTCAAATGTTACATCTAAGCCATTTGGAAGGGCATCATCTCCTAAACAAACACATACATTTATTAGTGAATGCTGTATGTATAATACATTTGTAAGAGTAATGAATTCAGTATTGTTTTGTATTTGTACAAAAGGCAACTTGAGTTGTTTAGAAAATATTTTTTTTAGAAAGCAAAAATTAGTTGGCTTAAATCTTCATGTATGGCTAAATTATACAGAACAGAAACCTCACAAAAGCAGAAGTCCTAAACAGAACCTGAGGAATTGCACACAACCGTTTAATTCCATCATACCTGGCTTCTCAAGCATCTGTCCTTTAGTTATGAACTAGTCTACTATATATTTGAAAGATTTTGTATCTATCTGTGAGTCTGCTTGTTCCTCCTAAATGGGAAGAGCTAGTACCACTAAATTTGGTATGCAGATTCCTCTTATCATAGCTTAAAGCAAGGGCAGGATTTGGTTGTGCCAAAACAATAGGATGTGCCTGGAATTTCAATTATTTCTCATAAAATGGAAGGGGGGGGGGAAATCTTGTAAGAGGGACAATTATGCTGTAGAATGCCCACATGGGAGCAGTAAGGGGTCAGAGACGAGAACTGGGAAGGCTATAACCCCACTTAGCCAGGAGGGGGAAAGGGTGAAGAAAAGGACAGCTATCTACTACATATTTCAGAGAGTTTCTCTGTGCATCTTGATGTCCTGTCCCCCGCTGTTCCCCCAGCTATACTCCCTGTAGCAGCCATAGACAGGCACTTCTCATCTGGCCCCAAGCTGCTGCAGAGAGAGGGGGCTGGGGGTGTCCTCTACCCCCCCAGGACAGCCTGCATACTGAATCCCCCCTGCTTAGCCTCAACCCAGAACAATGATTTAAATGAAGTAAAACTAAACTTTTTAGGAACCTGAATAATGGTGGGTAAATCTAGTTAAACATATGTTTGGAACCTATCCTGTGAAAAGAGATGTACTCAAGATTTTATTTTAGAAGATAGTTATACCACTCATTTTCTCCCCCCTCCTAAAAAATAAAGTATTTTCTAGCTTTGCACTCAACTGCTCTGAACTGTGATGGTAGAGAGCATTTGCCTTTGTCCCACAAAAGCTTGCTGCCTGATTGCTTAGGGCCATTTGTCATGTCACAGAGACCTTTTATTTTCAATAACAGATTATTTCCCAAATTAAGCAGTCTCTTGGCAACAGCAAGCCATTTCAACAGTAGCACAGTTCTGATAAGAGGAAATGCAGATTCTTCTTACTAACACATATTGCAGCAAAAGAATAAAACATAATTGCATTAAAATACTCATATCATTCATTTTTATATCTACCAAGTCACTAAATACACACTTATTGTTTAAAAAACCTGACAATTTAAAAAGTGGGTTTTTTCCACATTTCTGAGATGCTAATACTGACTCACAGCACCAGAAAATGAATTGCTCTGTATAGTCACAGAACAGGTATAGCACACAAGTTTCTCCACTTGGCTTTCTTTGACTAGATGGCTTACCCCTGACTTGTGGAGGTTGTCACTAGGGGTATGTCTAGATTACATGCCTCTGCCGACAGAGGCATGTAAACTAGACATACTGATATAGTCAATGAAGTGGGGATTTAAATATCCTCCGCTTCATTAGAATAAAAATGGCTGCCGCCTAATGCCGGCTCAGCTGTTTGTCAGCACAAAGAGGTAGTCAAGACGGGGATCTGTCGGCAAGGAAAGCCTTTGCCAACTGATCCTGTAAACCTTGTTGCACGAGGCATAAGGGATCGGTCGGCAAAGGCTTTCCTTGCCGACTGATCCCGGTCTTGACTGCTGCTTTGTGTCGACAAACAGCTGAGCTGGCACAACGCAGCAGCCATTTTTATTCTAATGAAGCAGGGGATATTTAAATCCCCGCTTCATTGACTATGTCAGTATGTCTAATTTACATGCCTGTCAGCAGAGACACGTGTCTAGACATACCCTAGGAGTAGAATAGTTCATTCAGTATGCCTTTTCAATCTTTGGGTCCTCTTTTGAAACGACAAGCTTTGTTTTGATTTAAAGTAGTGTGAACTAGTAGTTGGCACCAAGGATAGGAGTTAGGAGGCCAGACTATCATGAATACTTGCTAGGAAACTTAAGCAAACTACTTGATTTTTATGTGCCTCAGTTTCCTTCGCTGTTATGTAAGTAACGCACCAACCTTTGCAAAGCATTTTTCAGACCCTGGGATGGCAAGTGGTAAGCATGGATATAACCTGGCACATGCACCACGATGACATAAAAGATTAACAGGGAATCTGAGAGCCCAGTTAGCCCATTCTGTGGCACATGGAGGGGCACAACTAATTAAGAATTAGCTCCAATTAGGAAAAAAAAATCAGTCTAAGCAGCACCTATAAAGGAAGGACTGTGGAGCCAACAAACGAGGACTGAGACAGCAGAGCTACAGTAAGGAAATGACACTCGAGGACTGAAGGAAGAGGGCAGGAAGGGTGATGGGGTTCCAGGCACTGCTAGACAAGCATGCACCCTGAGAAAGTGTTTTAGCCAAGTGCTACGCCGTAAGATAAAATCCAGAGAGAGGACTGGGGAGTGCAGCTCCACAGCAGACACCTGCACGCAGGTAAAGGTAGGAATCATCTCAGGTAACCAGGGAAGGATCATAAGAACCTAAGAATGGCCATATTGGGTCAGACCAAAGGCTCATTTAGCCCAGTATCCTCCTTCTGATAATGGCTAATGACAAGTGCCCCAGAGAGAATGAACAAAAAAAGCTAATCACCAAGTGATCCATCCCATCACTGACAAACAGAGGCTACGGACACCATTCCT